TGAACCCAAATCTCTGGGATAGGGATTAGTAATCTGTAGTTATACCAAGCACCCCCAAATTGGAGACCCCTGTACCCAACAGTGGCTCAGAGTGATTGCTCTGGCTCTGCACAGCTCACCATGTGCTGATTTACAGCCTGTCTTAGCATTGCCATAGGGTTTCAGCATTATCCATGTCCCAACCATCCCCTCCCCCTTCCCTCGAAGTTTTCCTCAGCTCCTTACTCTGGAAAAGTTGAGGAGTCAATTACACAGATTTGTTTCTATACTTCCAAATCAGTATATCTAAATTAATCTCAAGATAAGACTCTCCAGAAGAGCTTATATACAGCATAGATTTCCCGGGGGTGGGCCTGGTAACCTGTATATATAACAGTCATTCCCAAGTCATTCTGATCACCAGGGCGGTTAAGGGATGTTGGGGAGAGGTGCAGCTGTGCCCACACAAGCTTCTAGAGACAGATTAGCCATTGTAATTGATTATAGTCTCCTTAGCTATCCATTGGTATGATCCTTTCCATTAGAAAACTAAACCTAAATATTGTTACCACACTTTACAGACACTAGTTGATGATAAAACATTTTGAACACCTCTAACTTGTTGCTATGGGTTGAATAGTGTCCCCCCCAAAGTTCATGTGTTGAAGTCCTAACCCCCAGTACATCAGAATGTGACCTTATTTGAAAATAGGGTCATTGCAGATATAATTAGCTAAGATGAGGTCATTAGAATGGCCCCAAATCCAAGATGATTGGTGTGCTTACAAATGGAGAAATGTGTACACAGACATACACAGTGAGAATGTCATGTGAACACGAATACAGCCATCTAAAAGCTAAGGAGACAGGCCTGGAACAGATACTTCCTCACAGCCAACCAATCCATGATTTTGGATTTCCAGCCTCCAGAACCATGAGGTAATAAGTCACAATAGGTGGCTTATTAAGCCACCTTAACTTCTATGGAAATAAACCGTCTTTTGTTTAAGCCACCCAGTCTGTGGTACTTTGTTGTAGCAGCCCTTGCAAATTAATACACTGGTCAGTGAGAAACGTGGATCAAGGTACCTCATTGCAAGAAATATCTATTTTAAAATAAAAAGCAAATGTTGATTAAAATTTCCTTCAAAACAGAGAAGTAATGGAATCATTTGCAGTGGTCCCCTCTGTTACAAAGGCAACCTGCACAGTGTCTTGCACAGGGCCTGGCCAAGAAGAGGCTGGCTGTTTCCCAAATAGTCTATTGCTTCTAATCTATCCTGATCAGTAATGCTCTCAATAAAACATCTACTAAAAATTTTAAGTGAGGAAAATGCAAAACCATATGAGGGCCATGAGCCCTATTCCTCCTGGTCACTGCCTCACCAATATGATCTTGATTGACACAGTATTATATCCCCTGTGCTGGATTACGTTGCCATTTTTGTAATCACATTTAGTTTCAAACTACAACATATTAGTACAGCCTATATGCTATGCTATTTGTATTGTATACACGTGGTTTAATGCTGTCATGACATGCAAACTGTATACAGGGGACATTGCTTCCCACATTTCACTCTATAGAAAACTAAAGAGGCACAGCTCATGGATTTAAAACCCCTGAAAGCACACTGCATACCAGGAGGCAGACAGGGACATGCTAGTGTGCAGCATCTCAACGACTTACGCTTCCCTGATATTTTACAGGTGATTAACCTCTTAAATTTTCGTGGCAACTTCCCCCAGAAAAAATAGTATAGTGGCAGTAAACTCTGAGGCTATATGAGGAGGTACTTCCACTCACCAACAATCTCACTGGGTTCCTTGTTATACAGCTTTTTGTTCCAGTAAAGTAGTCTGAGGAGTGGAAAGGAGAACAAGAGAACGAAGCAAATCCCAGCAAACATGTGTGCAGTGAACCCAGCGAAGTCCAGACCCTAAAAACAGGAAAGGAGAAGTGAAACCACAGACTGGCCTTCCTGCAGCACAGGTGCAGCCCCATGGCAGGGTCCAGGGTGGGCTGAGCTTGAGGGCTGTGGAACCTAGCACAAAGCCCACAGAACAGGTACTCTTCACCATGATTTTGAAAACATTCAGGATTTGTTTCTTTCACATTGAAAAACCAATTATTACCTGAATGACAAGCAAACTTGGGAGGAAACAAAAACAGGTCATCACATCTAATCCCAACCTTAGCTGTGTCTACTTCACCACTGGACTAACTTGTCCCCCAGGATTCAGTGAAACAGGACTGAGGGGGACAAAACATACAACTATCACTACCATAGAGAAAATAGATAACCAACAAGAACCTACTGTTATAGCACAGGGAACTATACTCAATATTTTGTAATAACCTATAAGGGAAAAGAATCTGAAAAAAAATAGATATATATGTAAGTATAACTGAATCACTTTGCTGTACACCTGAAACTAACACAACGTTGTAAATGAACTATGCTTCAATTTAAAAAAAAAAAAGACTATGGGGCAACATTCTCCCATTTGAAGGTAAATTGGCTTTTAAAAATATTTCACTTAAGTCACTGACATCAATTTGAAAGAGTACTGTCATGCCTGGAAAGCACTGTCCTCCACATATCACCCAGTGGCCATCAGGACTGAAGCCCCCCAGGGTGTTCCAACCAGCTCCAAGGGTCCTAGGCAGGACCTCTCTCCTTCCCTTCACACTTCCTTTGCCTGTCTGTGGGCTATTTTCCATGGTCAGCTGCTGAGAACATTTTTGTTGTTGGATGAAATCCCCGCTAGGTTAATTTGTTAGGGAATATGTCACCAACAATATTAGTCAGTTTTTTTCCTTTTGTTTACACTGTGCTTAAACCTTCAGCAAATACATGCCCTCTGAGCTCCTCGCAGGACAGATGAGGCTGCTGTCCCCATGAAGCAGGCTGTGAGAATCAGCTTCTTACTGACAAGGACTCCAGGTCTTTTCTGTAGTGTTCATGGACTACTGATGCCACAAAAAGGGGTTAGAGGCACAATGACAAAGCACTGGGGGTGACCCCCAGGCAGGAGGGACCATGGGGGTAGGGAGAGTAGGTCCAGGGGTCATTAGTGACCACCTTGAGAGACCATGCCCAAGGCAGCAGTCAGGAAGACCACCTACTAAAGGCCTGAGCTGGAAGGAGTGATTTCAATTATATTAGTTGTTGTTTATTAATATTTACTTATTTCTCCACCTCATTTCTGGAAAAGATCTGAAACCACTTATAACATTGCTAAAGATATGGCACAACTTAGAAGCCATTATCAGTAAGTTGTGTCAAAATTTAAGCTAGCCAGTGTGCAATGATCTGAAGTTCTTATTCTCTTGCAGTTTATCTGCACATCCAAAGATTGCCCTTGAAAACAGCATATGAATAACATAGAGGTTATATGAGGTTAATCACATACAGACAGCAGGGAGACCTACCAAGATGTGGGACTCATGGCATGCTTTTAACGGCCATATAAGAATTCACCACTTTTCTGGTAGTTCTTCAACAAGGATATTACCTTGGACTTTGTGTTTATCTATAGAATGCATGCCCCAAATATCTGGTTTAAAAAAGGTCCAAGACACTTTTAGGGGCCCCTGAAAATCATTTAGTTTCTTCTAAAACCAGAAACAAAACAGAAAACCTTCTGAGTCAAAGAAGATGGTTTAAAATGTAATATTAATATAATATTAACGTATTTTTCTGTATATGAATTCAGTCATGAATGCAATGTAAATGTAATTGTAATTACTATTACATGTAATGTAATAACATAATTAATGTAAATGTAATTAATATTTTTTGGAGGGAGGAGCACATGAAGGCAGAAGTACTTACATCCTGAGTAATTCTGGGTCCCTTTGGGACACAATACATGTATTCCCCACTTTTTCAGATTTCGCTTTATGTCACTTTGCTTTTACAAAAGACCTACATTAGCACCTGTTTTCGCTAAGAAAGAAATCTGAGCAGGATTTTCACTTTTATGAAAACAGGTGATTGCTCTTTTAACTTTATGCCATTTTTGGCTTCTGAAAGGTTTCATAGTAAAGCTCTATTTTCGGACAGTGGGGAAAACCTGTAACAAAGCTATAAAGTAACAAAACCACCCACTATCATACTTACATCAGTGCAGTGCTTAAATGCAGCCCTTTCTTGCAAGGTGCTGGCTCTGTTTCTTCCCTTTCAGCCTTGTTTCATACTGTTTTGGTTTTGAAACATGCCCCAAGGGCACTGCAGCCTGGTGGGAGAGCCACAAGGAAGGTCCCAGCAGTGCACGGCACAGGGGGCCTGATGGGAAAGGCCTGAAGAATATCCTAGTACACACATCTCTGGGGCACAGTAGGAAATGCCTTCCAATGATGTGTGAGATGCCATTCAGAAGCAGAGGGTACATGGTTCCCTTAAAGAGACTTCCCTAGGGCTGTTTAAAATGTGGTTGAGGGAGGAGCTTCAAGATGGTAGAAGAGGGCTTCCCTGGTGGCGCAGTGGTTGAGAGTCCGCCTGCCGATGCAGGGGACACGGGTTCGTGCCCCGGTCCGGGAAGAAGTCTGAGGCAGTTCAGGCTGTACTGAGGCTTTGGTTTTGCTAAGACTGGTATCATACAGGTGACCCATTCGACCTGCCTTTTCTACTTGAATTCTTGATAACTTTAAAGAGCCAGGCTTCCAGGAAGATGGCAGAAGAGGAAGATGTGGAGCGGAGATCACTCCCCACAGATACATCAGAAATACATCTACATTTGCAACAACTCCTACAGAACACCTACTGAACGCTGGCAGAAGACCTCATACCTCCCAAAAGGCAAGAAATTCCCCACGTACCTGGGTAGGGCAAAAAAAAAAGAAAAAGAAAAAACAGAGACAAAAGAATAGGGACTGGACCTGCACCACTGGGAGGAAGCCGTGAAGGAGGAAAGGTTTCCACACACTAGAAGCCCCTTCGCGGGTGGAGACTGCGGGTGGCGAAGGGGGGAAGCTTCGGAGCCGCGGAGGAGAGCGCAGCCACAGGGGTGCAGAGGGCAAAGCGGAGAGATTCCCGCACAGAGGATCGGTGCCGACAAGCACTCACCAGACCGAGAGGCTTGTCTGCTCACCCGCCGGGGCGGGCGGGGGCTGGCAGCTGAGGCTCGGGCTTCGGTCGGAGCACAGGGAGAGGACTGGGGTTGGCGGTGTGAACACAGCCTGAAGGGGGTTAGTGCACCACGGTTAGCCGGGAGGGAACCCAGGAAAAGGTCTGGAGCTGCCGAAGAGTCAAGATACTTTTTCTTGCCTCTTTGTTTCCTGGTGCGCGAGGAGAGGGGATTCAGAGTGCGGCTTAAAAGAGCTCCAGAGACTGCCACGAGCTGCGGCTATCAGCGCGGACCCCAAAGACGGGCATGAAACGCTAAGGCTCCTGCTGCAGGAACCAAGAAGCCTGTGTGCAAGCACAGATCACTATCCACACCTCCCCTCCCGGGAGGCTGTGCAGCCCGCCACTGCCAGGGTCCCGTGATCCAGGGACAGCTTCCCCGGGAGAACACACGGCGCACCTCAGGCTGGTGCAACGTCCCACCGGCCTCTGCCTCGCCCCACACTCCATACCCCTCCCACCCTGAGTGAGCCAGACCCCCAAATCAGCTGCTCCTTTAACCCCGCCCTGTCTGACCGAAGAACAGATGCCCTCAGGCGACCTACAGGCAAAGGTGGGGCCAAATCCAAAGCTGAACCACAGGAGCTGTGCGAACAAACATGAGAAAGGGAAATCTCTCCCAGCAGCCTCAGGAGCAGCGGATTAAATCTCCACAGTCAACTTGATGTACCCTGCATCTGTGGAATACCTGAATACACAACGAATCATTCCAAATTGAGGAGGTGGACTTTGGGAGCAATGATACATTTTTTTTTCCCTTTTTTCTTTTTGTGAGTGTGTATGTGTATGCTTCTGCGTGTGATTTTGTCTGTATACCTTTGCTTTTACTATTTGTCCTAGGGTTCTCTCTGTCCATTTTCTGTTTTTTTTTTGGTGCTGGGGTTTCCTTTTTCCTTTTTTTTTTTTTTTTTTGGGGGGGGGGGGGGTTTAAGTATAGTTTTCAGCACTTGTTATCATTGTGGATTTGTTTTTTGCTTTGGTTGTTCTTTATTTCTTTCTTTTTAATTACTTAAAAAAATTAATAATTATTTTTTGTTTTTTATTTTAATAACATTTTTATTTTATTTTATCTTTTTCTTTCTTTTATCTCCCTTTTATTCTGAGCTGTGTGGATGAAAGGCTCTTGGTGCTCCAGCCAGGCATCAGGGCTGTGCCTCTGATGTAGGACAGCCAAGTTAAGGACATTGGTCCACAAGAGATCTCCCAGCTCCACATAATATCAAACAGCGAAAATCTCCCAGAGATCTCCATCTCAATGCCAAGACCCAGCTCCACTCAACGATTAGCAAGCTACAGTGCTGGACACCCTATGCCAAAAAACTAGCAAGACAGGAACACAACCCCACCCATTAGTAGAGAGGCTGCCAAAAATCATAATAAGGTCACAGACACCTCAAAACACATCACCAGAAAGACAAGATCCAGCTTTATTCACCAGAACACAGGCACTAGTATCTCCACCAGGAACCATACACAACCCACTGAACTAACGTTAGCCACTGGGACAGACACAAAAAACAACAGGAACTATGAACCTGCAGCCTGCAAAAAGGAGACCCCAAACACAGTAAGTTAAGCAAAGTGAGGAGAGAGAAACACACAGCAGATGAAGGAGCAAGATAAAAACCCACCAGACCTAACAAAATAAAAGGAAAAAGGCAGTCTACCTGAAAAACAATTCAGAAAAATGATAGTAAAAATGATCCAAAATCTTGGTAATAGAATAGAGAAAATAAAAGAAATGTTTAACAAGGACCTAGAAGAACTAAAGAGCAAACAAACAATAATGAAAAACACAATAAATGCAC